GGATTTTTTTTTAACTTTCAATGCGCTTATTGCGATATGGTAGGAGAGGAGGTGCGATTGTGAAGGAGATGTTGGAGATGTTGGGTGCGGATAGGAATTGATGAATATTTTGATGAATGTTTGGAGGGAAGGGACAAGATGAAGATTAGTAATTGGTAATATTGCTGTTATGAATTTATTGTTGTGCTGAAGAAGATTGAACAAGTAGATGAAGAATAATTAATGTTGGGAGAGGATGTAAAAATTTGACCTCCCAATCTAGCACAAAAACTTGAAAAACAGATAGGGAGTGTTCTTGATGATGCTCATAGGTGGTGAATTTTGCTCGCTTTGCATTTTACTAGCAGGTTTGTCAAAAGTATTTCCAACTTTTTCGATTTTACTTTCAACTTCTCTGTCATCACCAATGGTAGATGTGAATTAACAAAACATTCCCAGGTGATATTATTGATGATAAATAACATGGCAATGATGTTGTTCTTGTTGTATTTCATGTTGAATATGATGAAAATATTAAAATTAATATTTTGATAAGAATTATGTTGAATTGAGACGTTCGCATACTCTCCATTGTTATGTAAATACTATTTACCAACAAGCATGAAGGTTTCACTTCATCATTTCCATAAAAGTTTTTACAAAGGTAATCTTTGCCTTCCAAAATCCGCAATTTATCATAAAATCCAATAAATCCAATTCCTATCACTTCCTTTCCATCCTATCATGCTGTGTATTAAATGGTTTTTACCATCATGCAGAATTACTGTTGAAAATCATCACAGAAGAAGTAGAATTTTCAAGAGAGAAAATTTTTGTTGTTTTTTCTTTTGAAAATTTTGCCGAGTTTTCTGGCAAAAAAATTTGAAATTTTTTACAGAAAGAAAAATTTATCCCCTCTAAATTATTCATCCTTTATGTGAAAAATCGATTATCGAGAGCATTTCTTGATGACACTCAAAAGTGTTACACGTGTTGGAAGATGGCATGATATAGAGACAATGGGAATTTAATTTTGTGTAAAAAAGCGGAATTGGGAAGGTAAAGGTTGAATGTTTGGAAACTTTTGTTGAATTGATATTGCTACTATATTTGCTTGTAAATAACATTGTGAAGTGGATGCGAATACTTCAATCAATTCTGATGACAAACATCTTATTCATGAACTACTTCAAGACATTAATGTAATTTGATATTAATATTTCAAATTTCGGGGTGATGAATGGCTACGGCCATATCACGATGAATGCACCTCATCCCGTCCGATTTGAGAAGTTAAGCATCGTCGAGCCACATCAGTACTGAGGTTGGAGACAACTTGGGAACCTGTGGTGCTGTAGTCTTTTTTTCATCTTCAAAGAGAATCATAACCAAAATCAAAGCATCAAGTTGGAGGAACAATTTTCATTAAACAGACTAATCCTATTCCAACTTATTCTGACATTAGAAACAGATTGGTCTCTTTGCCGTAGTGGTGGCTTAACCTTTCCATTCTTAGATTTGAGATTACAAAAATTGTGAATATTTATAGTAATTGCACACAAATTAGATCAAAAATAGCATACTAGCAGCCATGAATTTCACTTTTTGTAAAGTTGACTTACCAATTTCATCATACTCTTTAGGTTGCTTGACATTAATTAAATTTGCCTTTCGAATAGTTTAAACATTTAAAAAAATAACAATAAAACAATGCAATTCTGGGTTCAAGACGTTCAACCAAAGTGGTTACCTGAAGGATTCCAAGTGGTAAGTTTCTCATTTCTTTAACATATCTTTTCACACATTTAAAAGCCAACCGAAATGTTAAATCAGGTTCAACAATTATGTAAACAAGCCGAAACAGCTTATAATCAAGTCGATTTGGAACGTAATGGATTCTTGAGAAGAAGAGAATTCAAGAAGGCAATGAAGAGATTGGGAATTAACAAGTTTGAAGCAAGGTATGTTATCTTGGTGGAATATTTAAATTTCTGACATTTGACTTAAGACACATGTTAAGCTTTGTTGATAGAGAACGTCTCAAAGTTGTCAGTATTAAAAACTACGTCAATGCCTACTTGTTCATCAAGAGTGGTGGTTTGAATCACATCAATGCTGATTATCAAGGTCCACTCACTTCCTCAGTTGACCAAAGAACTCACATGAACAATACAGATCCAGGAGAACCATTCAATTTCGCTCAACTAGCCAAAAGACATTTATCCAACACCACTCAACCACTCTCATTCATTGCTCAAAACATTTTCCAACCAATTCCTCGTCCAAAATACGTCGTCGGTTACACTCAATCCATGAAAGCAGCCAATGGAATGTATCTTTGCTCTGAAAATGGAAGAGTCGTTGCTGATCGTCCAGTAGTTGGTCCATGGGAGAATTTCTACCTAATGTCAGATACTGATTGGACTGATTGGGTGTCAATTTGTGCATTGAGAACTTGGTGGCATACTTATTTGTGTTGTGATAATGATAATTCAATTGTTGATAATAGAATTGCAATTGGAGGGTGGGAGAAGTTTACTGTGGAGGTTCATAGTAGTGGAACAAGTTTCAGGGCATGGACTGGGGGTTATTTGACAGCTGATGCCGCTGGAAATGTTTCATTTAACGCAACAAGTATTGGTCCAAATGAAATTTGGACTTGTAAAGTACTTAGTTCTGTATATCTTTAAAATAAAAGTTTATTTAATTGATGCACTTTTCAATGAAAGACCAGCAAAGAAGATGCATTTCATCTTACAAGTAAGCCTATATCAGATATGATAAAGTTAGAATATTTGTTGTTGGATTTTCTTCTATTTTTGAAATCTTTTCTCCAAATATCAGAAGCATTTCTTAATAACTGCTTTTCCTTGATTCTCAACCATAAAATTGTTGTTAAGAAATATGGTGAAAAGCTTGTCTGTTAAAAGTAATTGTCCTTTAACTTTAGTAACAAAGCATGTATCTTCCAAAGATTCAAGATCACCATTTAGTATAGCTAAGACTGTGGCTGAATCAATTACAACATCTCGGTCGTATATTTTCAATATTTCTTCTACTAACTTATTCAAAGATTTAGTGAAAGAAAGTTTTAAATCGTGCTCATATTTCAGTATCTGGCTTACATACGCAACGTTTAGATCTGTGCAATGTGATTGTATCATAAGGGTTTCTTCTGCTGTTATAGAACTTCTATTCAAAGCACCCTTATGAAACAATGTTTTAAGAGATTCTTCAACACGTTTTGGTGAATTGGAAAAGGGAATATCATAAACAATTGTATTGTCAAAGAAACTCAATCCATTTCTACATGTCTTTTCCATTGTCAAGTTGAACATTGACTGGGTAGAGCCTGTTAGAATGAATGTACACTTGAGAAAGTCTCTTGACTTGATAATTGTTCTCAGAGAGTCCAAATATTTTGAATCAATTAATTGAATCTCATCTAGAACAATAAACATATGAGAGTCAGAATACACATCGAAAAATCTGTGAATATACGTTCGTACTTCCAGAATAAGCTCACCATTTTCTTTAAATTCATGTTCTGGATGGTAGTTAATTATTTCACTTAAATGTTTCTTCAGTTCGTGATACAAATCCCTGATTGGATTTCCATTCTTTACCATCATTAAATAGAAAACAGGAGCTCTTGACAGTTTTGTAAGGCCTTCTTGTTCCCTCTTTCGATTAATTGAAGTGGCACAAAAATAGGGAAGCACATATTTCGAACAAAGTGTTTTTCCTGTTCTAGGCTGACCCTTAACTTCAAAAGACATTCTACATCTCTGGGCAGATCCCAATACTAAAGGTATATGATGAATTGCTTTCTTAAATTTTGAAAGATTATTGAAAATGTACCAATTTCCATCATTAACTTTGTAAATAAACGTGTCACTATTGTTAACATGCTCGTGATCAGTTGTAATATCTTCAATACTTGATAGTGCATCTCGTATTTTGGCTTTTCTCCATAGAAACTCGTCCATTCTCTCTTTTGAAAATGGAAATGCTTGCTTCGCTTGATGGCCAATAAAGTCAACAATATTCTCGGCAATATCAGCTCTTATTCTAAAGGTGTTCACCAAGTTATTTACGACATCTATTTTGTTATGTTTGGTGAGCATATTCAATAGTGTCTTAATATTATCCTTATTGAAGTTTTTTCGGATGAGAGGTTCCAATAAGGAGGTGTTGGCGATCTGGTATTGTTCCGATATACAGAAAAGAATGTATTCTATGGGAACATAAATGTCCAAGTCATTATACTGTTGAGTATTGTTCATATTAAAATAAAAGTAACCAGCAGAACAAAGAACCACCAAAATAGCAATGCAAAGAATGTTCCACATTTTTTTTAAACAATCGAAAGTTCACCACAAATAGTCTCATCTTTGTTAATGCATGAAATAGTTTTTTCATATAAATTGAATATCAATCCATTCCTTAAATTAAATTGAAGAATTACATGTAGGAAAATAAAAAAATAATCTTTGATTATTTTCTCGGTGGTTTTAAGAGATGAAACTTTGAAAATTGATTCTTAGTTAGAGTACATATCATTCCACCTATGATGAAAAATGTAAAACTCAAATATTGGGGATAGAGTCAAAAATTAATCTCGAGTGCCTGGAATTGAATATTCAACGTTTGCCAATATTTTTTTATTGGTACTGATTGAAATTCCAATTAGCATGAAGTACTTTCCACTTTTGTTATAGTATCTGCCTCACATTCATTCTTAAAATATTGAAAGCACTATTCAATTATACATCCTTACTGTGAATAGGGATTAACTTCTTTCTGTGCATCACTGACTATTCTTCATTAGCTGATATCAACCAACACCTATTTTATACATTCCAGCACAAACTGAATTTCCTCTTTCATCCTTTCCAAATATTCCTTCTCGTAAATGACTGTCAACTTTAATCTTATAAAAGCTTCCACTAAAAGTTCAGTTGACTCGAGATAACATTCTTGATAATTGCTATCCAGATTTGATTTCTTGAAATATCGAACAATTGCAAAGTAATTCTGAGGATATTTCTGAATTAAATCCATCAATGTTGATTTTGGATGTTGGGACAAGAAAATGTAAATTTCCAATAATTCCAATTTGAATTCCAACACTAGAAATCGTTTCATAATTTCAATACAGACAGATCCATCATTAAATGACTTGGAAAAGAATATATCCATCTCTTCCTTGAGTTGTTGAATGTCAGTTTTCTCCTTCTCCTTCTTGAAAAATGTCATAATTACAAGAAACCAAAGTTGTAAACTATATCCAACAGTAAAGAGAATTTTACCACATCCATACAGGGCATATCCAAAACCATTGTTCAAATACAGTTTAGAAATGGGTCTCGTACTCACATATAAAGTAGAAGTGAGATAACCTCCAGAAAGGGAAGAAAGTAAAAAAAACAATCCTGCCAAAATATAAATCACAACAAACACCAGAAATTCACCATTATATCCAAAGCTGTCATCATGTAAAAAGAACCACCTGAAAATCTGCTTGGCACTCTTTAACTTTCTTGCAAATTTAAAGTTTACAATAATGTGAACAGTCATTCCAATTCCAAGTAAGATTAAATAGCTAATTCCACAAATAATTGAAAAATAAGTATAAAAATCAACCATATCAACATATGGAAGATTAGTCATTATTACGGCAACGACAATTGCTTCTAAAATCAAAACAGAAATAATGGCTATTAGAAAGTAAACTTTTGACAGGAGAATCTTCATCAATATTCCATCTCGTTTCGAATAAAATCTCGAATACATCAATCTAGAAATATAATACCTCATCCCCTGCAACAAGTGTAGTGACATGACCACAATCAAAACTAATTCCTCAATTAAGGCATCCCATTCAGGATCATAATAGAAAACATTCAAAAAAATATTTGTTATCCCTTGCAATATATACATGCATGAGGTAAAGTAGGGAATAATAAATCGACTCTGTATAATACGGTGCTTTCTTCTACATATCAATAGAATTAAAACCGTACTAAAGTCAACCAATCCAATTGAGATGGCGATTAATTTCCAAATATAGTATTGAGGTCGTGAATTATAAGTTAAATCATCACACTGAGGATCCCATGTTCTATTCGAAAATTCACTCATTGAATAATTTGTAATTAATGGTATTATATAATAAGGGTTTCCAATAAATCTCAATTCAAATTTTTGAGGATAAGAATACAAGTCAATTAACATGACATGCATTTGTAATCCTGTTTGATTTGATTGATCCAATTTGATGGGTATTTCCACTGTCAAGTTGGTCATTTTCCATGAATATTGATGAAACTGCTTTCGTCTAGTGAAATTCCAATAACTTTCTCCAATCAATTCGTCCAATTTCTCATTAGCATATCCATCTGTGCAATTCGTTGAATATTCACTTCCATTCCTCGTCAAACAAAATGCTCGTGGTGGAACTTCAAAGTCTAAAGCTCCCATATTCTGATAATAACAAAATAATCGATATCTGACATTGTCAGACATCACATGTTTACCAACATTCATCTTGTAATTATCAGTATTGTTTAAATGCTCGAAAATCCAATCATCATCCGAGAATAATTGTATTGCCAAGCAAAGAGTTGGTGACATTTTAGATAATCCAATTTTTAAATTATTACAAGTGACGTTTTGGCATTCCAAGGACCATTCAAATCTAATTGGATCATCAAATGGTTTAACCATACATTGGGATTGATTAGCATACACGGGCCGATAACTTTCCTTTAAATCTATCAAACTTGATGTGTGGCAGTTGACTTGAATTAAAAACAACACCAACAAGAATATAATGAAAAAGGTTGTATGAGCGGATCTAACCCAACTAGCTCTGCCAACTCGTTGCATTTTTTCTAATTTGTTTGTTGACAAGTAACTTTTTCTTGTGAGTTTGGATAACAGGATATCTATTTAGGAATACTTCTTTCCTTTTACATAAAAGTGACTAATTTTGTCAGGTTTTTGTTTTTGCATTTTCATAAGTGAGTGAAGGAAGTGAAATGAATGTTCAGAATTTTTCAAATGGAATGTTATACTCGTTAATACTTGAGTATCGATATGATGCTTTCTCTCTGATTCTGATTAAATCTTTTGTCTGTATTTCAAGACTTCCACAAGTTTAAAATGTGTGATGAACTATTGGAAGTATAAATTTATGCAATACGAAACATTATTAGAATGTCAGGTAGTTGCACAGCGACATATGTTATCACATCAATGACATTGGCCAAAGTCATCTAATAATTTATTCTTCTTATTGTTGTACAACAATGAATGACCAATATCATGTTAGTGTCAATGTAATAATAAATTAATCAGATTTTTCCTTCTTTAAAAGAATTGGCCATTGATCTGGTTGAACGATTTGAGTCTTGTCCATTTCAGTTAAACCCTTTGAAGTTTCATAGAAACGGTTAGCACGAGCAACAATACCCCAATCATTATTTCTAACACCTTGTCTGATCATTTCAGCATTAGCCTTTCTGGAAATAATCTCACGAATATAAAATGGTTGATTTGGTACAAAGTGATGAATAATGTGAGTGGCACCAAAATTAAAGCAGAATAATTGGAATGGAATCATTGTCCAATGATTAATAACTTGTCCTGTTATTATGAAAAGCAATAATAATAATATTAAATATTAAATATAAATATATATAAATATTAAATATTAAATAATAATAAAAACAAACCTTGATAAAAAACATCACCTGCAGGAACATCAGCATAATAATGACAATAGGAAGCCATTAAATTTAAACAGGATTGTCTCAAAATGTTAGGTAAAATAATCAAGACACCCAAATCTCTAACAATTGGCCAAGCCCACAACGGTAAATACAAAGCAGGATCATATTCGGTGAAAGTGAGACCAAACATTGAACGAATATAACTGAAGAATAGGTGCCAAACAATTGCGAATGAAACAACGCTTGGAGCAGAAGTGAATACAAGACCCCATCTATTCCAATTATCCATATTATCTTTTTGAACATCTTCAATAATCATTGTATTGGCCCATGGAGTAATAATTAGTGCCCAACGTAAGAAACCAAATGGTAGACCACCACCAATTAATCTCTCTTCAAGATCAGCCTTTGATCCAGAAACTTGATGATGACGCAAATGAATAAACTTTCTATACCATGGAGTAACTGAACATTTAGCTAGGTAAATGAAAAAGTACATGACATGATGAACCCATTGATTAGTCTTGAAATACAAATTATGAATCAAATCATGTTCCAATTCATGCAAAATGGAAGCAGGTAAAGCAAGCAATGGTACAACCAATGCCCAATGAAGACGTCCTTGTAAATACAAGGTAGCAACACCAATCATTGAAGTAACACCAACGAGAAAGATTAACAAGCCCAAAGCATCTTGATATTGGAGGAACTTGTACTTTCTACGAAGACGAGCCTCTTCATTCTTGATAGTATTACGAATAGACTTGACAGCAAGTGTGGTATCCTTTTCATGAAGGAAGAGATCATTAGCTTCAGCATATTTAACCTTTTGCAAGTACTCTTCAGTTGGTGCATAGGTTGGTTTAATAATTAACTTGTTAGTTGGAGTAGTTGGAGTAGTTGGAGGACTACTAGCAGCAGCAACAACACCATTGGTGTGGGTTGGAGTGTTAACACTCTCAGTAAGAGTTGTTGACATTTTTTAAAGAATAGAATTTGTTTACCAATCGCCCCCCATCAGATATTATTATTCGAAGCAAGGACCAAGTCCGGAATGAGACGAATCATTTTTCACCTTTGAGAAATCAATTTGATGAGCTTATTCAATAGGACTGGAAGAAAGGAAATTAGGGAAACATTGCTGATCATCTTTCCACAACTTGGTTTAAAGTTGGTTTGAAAAATATTGTTAGTGCTCTATCCCAGGTCAATGAAAAAGTTAAAATGATTCTCCCATGCCGGGAATTGAACCCGGACCTCCTGGGTGAAAGCCAGGTATCCTAGCCATTGGACTACACGGGAATCTTGTAAATTATGAAAATATTACTGCAATATTTCATTGCAAAGCATCTTTCTGAATTACCTACCTTACCTGATAGTGGCATTCAATATATCTCATTTCAGTAGGGAAGCCAACAACAAATTAAATTACAAAAAAAAATGAAAAGAAGTTTAAAAGACAATGAAGCTGGCAAATATGAAGGACAAAAAATTCGGAAGGAAAATCAATCATCATCTAACGCAACAATGGTGATGAATTGTTTCCCGATAGAATTAGGAATTTTAGATGAAATTTGTAGCTTTTCCACTTTGGCTGATCAATGCTCATTGTATGCCACATGTAAATCAATACAAGATATTATGGATAGCAGTGTTAATTTTGAATATCATCATCATTCTAGGAAAAATGTTGTTTTAATGAAAAAAGCATGTGATGAGTTTGATTCCGAAGTGGATAAGAGGAATTTCCTGTATGGTATTATTTATAGATTGAATGCTGAAATTGATTTCTTGAACAGTAATGAATTAATGGAGAGAAATCCTTTGTGGTCCATATTTTGTAAAGATGAAGCCGACACTGGAAATGGTTCTTTTATTGCATCCGTTTTAAAGTTTCCCAAAAGAGATTCAGATGAGTGTGTATTGATTAATATCGACTTGACACGGTTTCAATCTACAAAGTTTCTTAGAAAGATTGTGGTTTCATGCAATGGCACACTTCTTATTCATTATGACACAGTTGGACGCTCTAGAAATATAGTGCATGTCCAAAAACATGAAATAGATAAGATATTGAGTGAAACTAATTTTGGAGCCAATAAGAATGTGGAAGAATTTATTACCACTCTTCTTCCAACAGAAGATCGTGAGGACATTGCATTTATCATTAAGAAATACACAAATGGGGGAACTGGCAGAATGGAGCTCAACAAGTTTGGATGGTGTACAAATGCAAAAAGTATTAAGGGAATTAACTTTGGATCGCAAATAATTGACAAGATCTCTAAACTTGAAAAAAAAAACGATCATGTCAATATTGAAATTCATTCAATCAAGCGCCAAAAACTTGTCCTGTAAGAGAATAGCAGAGATCAGAAAACCCTTACCTATTTTCAACAACTTTACTCCATGTTCTAAAGTGGATGTCATTCGAGTTTTTAGGGGAGTAGAGTATTACGAAATGGTTGAATTTACACTCAAAATAAGGGGAAATCTTGAAGAACAGTTTGAATTCTTTTATTTGAAATACAGCTGGGAATACTTTAATGGAGATGAAACTTTCGTTGATGTATATTTATCCTTATATTTCGACAATCCACAAAATTCAAAAACACTCTATGCAAATAGTTCTGAAAAAGATGAACAGTTCTTGATTTCAGACTCTTTCGCTACGAACTATCTAGAAGAGATTGAGAAAATATTAGGAAATGGAACCAGTGATGCTGAGGCACTTTTGGATTTATTGTTTCAATACCTAACTGGCTGTAGTAAGAAACTCTTTTACATTCGAGATTATTACTACAATCCTGGTACGGAAAGCGGAGCTAGTAGAAAGGCATTCCAACTCGTTAATGGAATATCTACAGCACAAGAGCTTTGTTTTGAGGAGGACTTTTTTGATTACGAATAATTGAAAATTTGACCTTAAAATATTAAGCGATATTATAGGTTGTGAATAAAATTAGCTCCACCAGCAATTATTTCGCATTTTCAAATAAATATTGGAATTTCAGACAAGAGAATGTGTATTGCTGAAATTCCAAATCAACGGGCGAAATAAACAATTTAACTTATGGCTGGACACATTCAATTATTTATTGTTGGGAAGTGAATAACAAAGAAGCACTCTTCTGTGCTGAATACATTAGTGGATTGTTTTTGAGATATCTATGATGCTTATCATTCAATAGATAAGTCTTGACAATTCCTTTTCCTTTCACATCTACTTCTCTTTCCTCAAATTCATAACCCAAATCGAAAACTCTTTCATAGGTTGATCGTGAAATTTGAATTCTTCCATTCTTTGATGTTGATTCCATACGAGATGCAGTATTGATTGTATCACCCCACAAGTCGTAGGCAAACTTTTTCATTCCAATAACACCTGCCACAACTGCTCCTGTGTTAATTCCAACTCGAATATTGATCTTTGCCTTGATAGGCGATGACTGTTCTTCAGTTGGTTGATATTCTTCTTGATTATCAGTCACCGATTTCCTTTCAGCATTATTGGCATTGAAATCGTTAATGACACCAAATGTTTCAATAGCAAATTTGAGAACTCGTTCTGGATGATCACTTGTTGCTGCACCTGGAAGTCCTCCTACACAAAAGTATGCATCTCCAATAGTTTTGATCTTCTCCAAATCATACTTCTCTGTTAGTAAATCAAATCCATTAACAATAGAGTTTAACATCATCACAAGGTCAGTTGCTTGAAGTCCACTACTGATTGCAGTAAATCCAACCATATCTGAGAAGAAACAAGTGATATCATCCAACTTTTCAGCAATGAAAGTGTGTCCACTCTTTAATCTCGAAGCAACACTCATTGGTAATATGTTTTTCAGTAAATTGTCTGATTTTTGTTTCTCTTCACTCAATAGTGCATTTTGTTTCTTTTCAGATGTTAAATCTTTAAGACTGACGATTAGGATTGGCTTTTGACCTATTCCATCACTAACCTTAACAGCAATTAAAGTTATTTTGCATGGGAATTTTGTTTGATTTCTTCTGATGCAGTCTAATTCTAAAACTTCGCATTGATCATTAGTTTGAATTTCATCCTTCTTTAGGTTATTTTCACCTGTCTTTTTCTTCATTAAATGATCCATACAATTAATGAGCTCATCTTTTTGTGTTGGCTCAATCAAATTTCCCATAGAAACTCCCAACACATCAATTGATTGCATACCAAACATTTTGAGGGCAGCTGCATTGAAAAATTCAATTTCAAACTTGCTATTACAAATTGTGGTTCCCTCAATGTTGGAATTGAAAATATTCTTCAAATCTTCAAGAGAGGAACCTCCAACAAAGCCTTCCTTAGAGAGCAGAGATTTCTTCTTCTTTTCTGTCTTGGTAGTATTGTATAGAATAAAGTTCTTCAATTGTTCATTTCTATCAAGAACATCAACTGGAATGTAGTGAGCCATTATTCTCAAAGTGTGTAATTGACCATCATAAGATTGATAAGTACTCTGAAGGAAAAAGAAGAAGACTGTACATAGCAAGTAGCTGATAATTGTACTAATGATTGCAATAATGTAGGAAGCACTAGAGGTTGCATCCACAAATTCTTGAATAAATTTCACAAATTTGCTTGTTAAGGATAAAGCCATTCTCATAGCATTGTTATGTCTCAATTGTAAATCATCCGTTGGAAGAAGAGTTGTAGTGCTAAGGGCAGCTTGTTGAAGTGCATACTGTTTCTTTGAATCTGTAACGAGCTGAGCAACAGTTGTCAAATAATTACCAAATAATTCTTCAAATCCAACACAATACTGATAACTAGTTTCAAGGCCATATGTAATATTGTTTTTGGCCATATAATCTGTGCAATTAGTAATTCCAGTCACAATTACTTGATCAACATCATCAAATTTACCAAGAATAGCTTCTCTTCCAGATGCTGCATCTCCATAAATTAATTTTGACCACATACTACTCAATTGAGGAAGTCTTGTGTTTATACGTGCCACTAAAAATGCTTGTAAACTTGCAATATCTATTCCATATAAACTTGGATCTCCAAAGGTTACCTTTCTAGGGAAAGAACTGGCTAGAGGTGATTTGGTATTGGAAGTCTCACTAGCAACAAAGTATGTAGCTACTTCTCCAACTGCAAACGATAATCTTTGCAAAATAGCAGCTGCTTGAACTGTCAATCTTACACTTGCCATCACCTGTGATGATGTAATTGAATTTTCATAACTTTCAACAAATAATAAAACCAAACAGGTTACTGTAACTAGAATGATAAGTAAAATCAAGCCAATAAGTATGACACTTGGTTTGATTCTATTAAGAGAAATACCTTTAGATTGAGAATCAGCAACTTCTGTTGTCTTCTTATCTAAGGTATGATAGATCTTTCCAATAACATCTTTGCTCAATTGCTTCTCATAGAGTTTCATTATTCTCTTCATTGAAGTCATTTCAACAAGCATAAATATCAGATAGGCAAAGCTTGACAATAGGAAGAAACCAACCAATGTAACAGTATAATAGATCAAAAGATTGATGGTATCATTAATTGTACTTGTTGATCTATCGAGATATTTTCCACAAAATGCATCATAGGCATTACTAGCTCTCTCAATATTACTATACAAAACCATAAAATTATAGTTTGCCAATGGATTAAAATAGGTAGAATTTGCTGCCAAGTCAAGATTGAGTTTCTTCTTGGCATATGTGATATTAATAGCTTCAGAGGCCAATAAATATGTGTCTGGTACGTCTGCGTAGAATTTCTTAGTGTACTTGATCATATTATTGGTAATTTCTTGAACTGAAATATTTCTAATAGTTAAAGCTCCATTATAGTTAAACTGTTTGTCTTCATTTGGGTATGCAAATGGATAAACATTTTCTGAATAGTCGATATATGAGTCACTATCGAATATCTTACTTTGAGCTGTAGAAACGAGAGTATCATAATAAGCCAAATCGTCTAACATTCTTTGTTTGTGACTTGTGACATAGCTTGATTTTGATCTTGTTTTGGTATTTGATTCAGGATTAATAGCTGGCCAAACATTTTCAAAAAGCATGTAAAAGTTCATCCAGTTCTGACCAGCCCTGACATTTCTAAATACTGAGAATGGAGCTACACTAACTGCGCAAACCTGTTGCAAGTAAGGAATATTGTTCTTGGAAGTTTTAGAGTAATAAACACTAAGTACTAACGATGCAGTGATAAAACTGAAACATAGCAAGCCATATAATAGAGTTGATGTGAATACGAATCTATTGGATCTTTGATTTGAGATGGCTGTTTTGAAAACTTGCTCCTTTTTTACCTTTGGATTATCAAAGGCACTTTCCATCTCATCTAAATCTTGATCTTCAACTGCCTCTGCATTTCCAAATTTGTATTCATTCATGACAGGAACAACACGATTACCACCTCTCTTTCCATTATTACTAAAGGTTGACATTCTTCTCTTTCTTTTCATTTCCTCCTCTTCAATAGAATTGGCTTCGTTATAGTATTGTTGGGCCAAGTCGCTGTCAAACTCAAAACTTTCAATGAAATTGGCATATAATCTGTAAATTGTCTTGTTATTTTTGTGGTTGTACATTAAATTTTGAAGTGTTGTCCTACAATCAATAGTGAGAGAATGAATGGCACGATTGATTTTTTCAACAGAATCATAATTGATCTTTTCAGATGCCAACTCCTTCCAAAAGTTTCTGTGCAAAGTTAGAAGAATGTTTTGATTCTTTTCTAGCAAGTCGAGTTGAGAGCTCAATTCAAAATTGGTTAAATTCTTAAAGTTGGTTTGAGAAAAGTTCTCAACTTGCTTAATTCTCTCCCGTATAGTAATTTGCTCTAATCCATTTGGATGTTGTTTCATTGCACGTTTGAGTAGGTTGAGAGAAAAGACAGTATTATTGCTTTCATTCCATTTAGTCTCCAATAATATTGACGAATAAATCAATAACTTGAGGTCATTGAATGAGTTGTGACTAGCTGCTCCCTTCACAAATGCTGAAGACAAGTCACTATTAGTGTATGAAGTGCCTTTGGCATCCCTTGCCTCTAGAATGGAACACTTGAACATGTGTCTCAATAGACCCAACAGCTTGGCATCTTCTGCATCGCCATATATATTCATGGCATTCTTTTCTATGAGAATGAGTGGAGAAATAGGATCAGAGTTAATAGCTGTTTCATCTTGTTGAACCCAGTTCAGTATAAAACTTCTAGCTCTTTTCAGTTGAATTCTTTGGAAAACTTCCAAAATAGCCACTCCAATAACAAAGAATAGAATCATCAATCCCAAGGTCATGAGAGACCAGCCCAGTGTTGGATCTGATGTATTCAATATATTTGCAGTATTAAGAGAGGACGCCACCACGGATCCAATACTTGCTCCTACTTTAGCCAAATTCATACCAAAATAAAGAGAATTATCAATTATTCTGAAACAAGGAAGTGAATAACCAGCAATAATGGTTGCTATCACACTGAGTAATAATTGTAAGGCAGCAGATATGTACATGTAATTGCTTGGTATCAGTTGGCCAATAATTAGTTGTATCAATGAAATTACTCCAATAATTGAAGTTGGAAAAGAACTTTCAACCATCAGTGGAGTTCTATTGTGTGGATTGGAATTTGCCGTTATAGATTCTGAAAAGAAATAAACAGGTAACAGTATCAAAAGGGAAATTACTGATATAATCATCATGATAATATTCAAATCGTCTGTACAAGATTGTGAGCTATATCTTCTCAAAGAAGGGATTGGATCACCATCTACATCATAGGCAATAGAATTACAATCCAATAAACCAACCAAAATATATACAATAGGGAGAGAGAAAGTCTTGACAAAGAAACTGAGATAGTAAACCAAAACCTTGAACTTGTTAAAATGCTTGTTTGGTTTCGTTGCCAACCTTACTCCCACAATATACAAAACTGCCATGGTTAATACAAATAATATAGTTGCAATAGTGATGGCCAAATATCCATAGAATGGAATGAGATGAACCAGAAAGGTATTTGGAAAATTGAGAACATGAATCAATACATAGGTTCCATACTCTCCCCAACCATAATTTCCCAACGTAGGTACAAACACCTGACACCAAAACATGTATATAAAAACCAATAGATAGGAAACATAGCATCGCCATCCTTTCTTTGGTGAGCTATCTTGCAAACTGACCAAAGTTGTGGTAATTAGCAATTTGGTTTGACCTCTAATTCCTCCCTCACTTGTTGTTGATAGTGTATCAGCACTTTTAATACTTTCAGAGCCAGTATGAGACATGGTACCAGCTTTTGAGGGATTATACTCATTCCCAGTTGCTCCCATCGAATAGTGTGATGATGATTGTTCTGCAAGTACATTCTGACTACTTGATGCTACCTCTCCTAATGAAAACATACTTGTAGAAGAAGTGGGCAGAAGGTATGGATTCGTACTCATATGATGATGAAACCTTTTTTCTTGTTGTTTTTGTGGTTCATTGTACAATCTGAGAGTTTCATTGGACACTCTCACATTTTAAAATTACAATGTTTGATGTCTTCCGAGTAATGGCCAATGATATTACTGGACATGGTAGGAGAATGGATGGAAACGTAATTTCATTGAACCTCTCTCTACTGTTTTGAAATGTTGAATTGCCAAAACTTGATCAGATGATGAATATGTTCCATCACTGCTCATCAGAAGCTTTCTTGATATCGGGTAGTGATAGAATTGAAGGATTATGAGGTTTCATGCATGAAATAGGAAGAACACACTTCTAGACTTTTTAATAAGTATTCGGAAACTAACTAATATTAGTAAATTCCATTAATGTGAAGATAAGTTCAGCATTGAGAGAGATGATGCAGGAGCACAAATCATTTCTATTTTTTTTCAAGTTGTATTAATGTAACGGACAATGATGGAGGGCAATCACTACTCAGTCTTCTCTTCTTCTTCGGAGATTAGACACTGGCTTCTAGTGAACAAGCTTATTATTTCAATCAATGACTACTGTTACCAATGAGGTGATCAGAATATTCCTAGAATTTGGATGTGATCATGTTTTATTTGAGAGTAATTTATTACCTTGACCCGAGTGCTGGGAAGCATGGAGATTTAATATTATTTCATGGATCATGCAATAATCGTGTGAGTAGAAATCTCAAATATCACACGTTACGAACCAATAATGCCTTACATTTCTCAATTTTTGATAATTGTATTTTATCTTTAATTATTCCATCAGAATTAATTATTTCTTGCCCAAAACAGGGTTTTCAGTTTTATGGAGTAGTTTCTGCTGCTTTTTCATACAGTTTCAGCTTGTCTATTTCTTGGAAAATCAATTTGGATAAGAAATTGACATTATTATCAGATGTGAATATTTACGAATCAGAGTTTGATAAGGATATGATCAAGGAATTTTATTGTCGAAGAAGAAATAAGGCTGGTAAGGAATGTGACTCTCTCAGGGAATGATTCAAATGATTCAAAACCTATTTTGACTTCTGACCTTTCTCCACTCCCAACAATTTCATGTAAATGTTTCATTTCTCAGAATACAAGAAATCATCTCAATATGTTGAAAGTGTGAAAAACACTCACTAATAAGAATAACTGACTTCATCATACCAATATGTCCAAGTGTTGATGACATTTGTAAAATAGATGCACCGCATCTTTTTCTCAAACAGAAACACTTTCCCGCTCACCAACTTCGTCATGTCCAACTTTAAAAAAAAAAGGAGCGAAATCACTGATGATGCCCAACGAGTGTTCGAGTAAGGAAAGCAAATTTTTTGTATGCAGGCTTTTTAGTAAAAGGCTTTAAGGACTTTGGCAAGGATGGTGTTAAACACCGGCACTGCTCAGGTTTGAATTATAATATTTTAATTTGTTCGTGATAGTTGCCGATAGGTGCTGACAGCGTGTGTTAGAGGAATCTTCACAACAAAAAAACGACAACATTTCTGGGCGGTGATTTTTCATCAACACGACATTAATTTTTCTCAACAGTTGTTGCAAGATAAGAAAACCAAAGGAGACTAGTATCTCTTTGACAGATTGAGAAAAATCAAAAATTGAAAGGTTTTCAACGTACGGGTTTGACCACCTACTCAAAAAGAACTTTCCTTGCCAACAGCTTGTTATTCTAAAGGATTAGGAAACGAAAAGAGAAAAGTGTTGAAAGAACATTTTCCATACGAATCCCAAATAATACTTTGTCTAACGTCTATAGAGTTGGATTTTGCGCCTGGCAGATTCTCAAAGTAAGGACTATTTCAAGTCAATTTCATCATATCAAAAAAACGTCAGTACTCAACCAACAACTAATCATGAGTGCAACAACATCAACCTTGGCTGTTGATAAATCCTTCTCGGCTACTACCACGAACATTCCTCTCTCTACATACACAACTGAACAACAGAAACTATTACTCTCGTTGAGAGATTATTGTTTTTCATATGAAGCATTTCTGGACGAACCAGAAACTAAACAAGCCTTGCTGCAGTTCATGAAAATTATTCATTGCGAGGAGAGTATAATGTTTCTAGATCAAGTTAACGAGTATTATAGAAAGCGATCTGCTGCCAATAAGTGGAATGCGTTGCAACAAATTTTCATTACTTTTTTCAGTGGTAATTCTGTTCACGAGTTGAATTTACCTCAAAGATCAAGGGAAGTTATGGAACAGAGCTTTATGGATCTGAACGACAAGATTACTCTAAAAACACCAACAAATTCTTCAAATGCCAGTAACTCAACTCTTCAACAGGTGAATATTGACAGTTCTGATCTTCAAGAATGTGAAGAAGCGCTTAAGAAAGCAGAGAGCTATATTCTAGTCAATATGAAAGAACACGTCTTTCCAATGTTTTTGGAATCTGACACATTCAAACAATTTGTTTGCAAGAAGAGCAAACAATTCTTGAACCAAATTGGTACTGTAAGAAATCTCTCCCACAGCTGTTTTGTGGAATCATTGATGGATATGAAGAGTTGTGAAATTACAGTTGACCAAATCAAAATGATCAAACAACATGTATTGGAAGAAAAGTTCTGGGATTGCATCTATAGTAAGGATACTTGTTTTGCATTTTTATCATCGAACAAGTACATTCTGGGAGAGGAAGAAAGTAAGAAGGGTATTTACTTTGCCAAATCTCAAGTCATTTTCCCTTATACTGTGGAACAAATGATGAATATTATGACAAATACTACAATTAGATTGGCATCTGATAAGAATTTGGATAGTATCAAAATTGTGGGGTATCTGAATAAGTCTGGAGGAGATTTACTTTCATCACCTCCAAAAAAATACAAGAGTAGTGAGTCCCTGTCATCACTCAACCATTCACCACCAGCCTCACCACATAGTACACATAGTAATCATAGTGCCTCATCAGATTCCCTCCTTTCTTTGAACAAACTTTCTGGCAAGACAAGATTGGCAACTGTTCTCACCCATGAGGTCTACAAATTGGTGTGGCCTGTTAAGAATAGGTACTATGTTTTGGCTCAATCTATGGTTTATGACACTACTGACAAGTTGTACATTGTCGCAAAGAAATCTTGTGAACCACCAAATTACAAATTGTCGGAGAAGGATGCAATTAAGGCCCTGGATATTGGTGCTTGGATTTTCATGCCTGTCATGGTAGATGGAAAAGAGCATTGTAAATATATTGAATTAATTGGTACAGATCTTAGAGGGTCGCTTCCAAACTTTATAGTACACAAGATTGTCAAGACAAGAGCCAAGAACTTTTTCAGAGAAACCATGAAAGTAATCAAACAAACTAAATGTGATATGTATACAAGACCAGCAAACTCTAGCGGATATTTCGAAACATTGGATGAAAATGGCAGTATAGCCCTTTAATTTTGGAACGGAATATTATTTACTTATTTACTGTACAATAAAGAGTTTTAATTTTGATTTTTGGAGGTTGTGGCTGGTTATTTGAAATATTCCAGCTCTGTAATTGTGATTTTGGCCTTTCCTAATAAATCCTGGAACCTACTAGGAAGTTTACACTTTAGTGATGGGTTATGGTTCAAAATTTCACTTAACTTCGGGCATGTAAACGTTGCAGTGTCAATATTCAACTCTTTCAATTGTTTGAGTTTTATGAATGAATAAAATGAAGGTGTGGCAGGTGAGAATGATTTAGAGCTCTTATCAATGAAAGTGAGGGAAGTTAAATTTGGTGTGATGATAGGCAGATCAGTGATGAGCTTGGATTTGTACTTTTTGTGTTGTCCATCAAAGTACTTGGTGGAAAAAACTAGATTTACGCAATTAGGGAATGAAGTTTCATGTAAGTGAAATATACTTCCAATGCAATCTATGAAATGTAAGCTAGTCAATTTTTCATTGAACGGTTTCAAAATTTCCAAGAAAGAACCCTTACATTTCACAAATTTGAGTTCTGACAGGTTTGTTACTTTGTTGAGTGCAGAAATAATTTTCTCCTTATTCTTATCGTTAAAAAACAATGATTCAAAGGTTACACTCTTCAAATTCTTCAACTTGTCCAACATGATCAGATCCTTTTGAGTTGCCAACTTTTTAGGTTTGGAAAAATTCAATTTAAATCCTCGTTGTTGATCCCTTTTTCTACCAACTCCTGGTTTCTTGAAATTGGTTCTAGCAATATTTGCTTTATAAACTTCACTTCCAACAATTCGGAACGAATTCAAGCCTTCCATAATTTTATCCTTTGTTTCATGATTGAGTAGAATAAGTCTCATCACATCTTTCGGATGATATTCAGAAATGAAGGGTATTATTCCGTGTACTAGAATTTCTCCAGGTAAATCTACAATTCCATAGCTACTACCATTTTTTCCCATTACTGTCGATATATTTTCTTCCATCAATGTATGATTGTTACTTTCCATATTTTACAAAAGAATAGAAAAAACTTTCTGTGTGGTTGCGTGTTGCGATATTTTTTTGGCCTTAAAAAAAAATAGAAAACCCAAAAACTAGCGTTTGATGAAGATAACAAGTTGTGCGTGAACAAGGGAATGAAGGAATAGATGAACGTAAAATTCAAAGTTACACCTCAAGAATGGATTGGAATGTTCACGGGATGAACCTTGCTAATATTGTTTGATTTTTTAAAAATAGATATATTATTATTGGTAATTGTTGAGCATCATCGGAATGCATCAGAAGAAATGATAAGGTTTTTATCATATATTTCTTTGATAAATTGATGAACAACACTTGAAGATTTCATATAAAAAAACGATTAAGAGGTTGAGGAAATTAGAGAAAATGAATTTGATGATGTTTTTTGTGGTAGTGTTTCAAATAGATATAAATGGAAACATCAAACATGTAATTTGGGCTACTAAGAAGAGATAAAGAAACTTCCATCATGCACTTACTTGAGAATCTTGGAGAATCCTCTGAAAACAGAAATTCCATCGATTAGGATTTTTTCAATAATACGAAAGAGAAACTCAATGAAAAAAAACTGAAAATGCATCATGCAGAACAACAGGTTATCATTGAGTTAATTGATTTCAATGAATGCAATTCGTTGCAAACACTTCTCACTACAAAACTTCAATTGCAAAGCAAGGGTTTTGTAAAGTGGTTCACCAATAGAGAAATCTATCATAAACACATAAGAAATTGGAAGAGTAGTCATTACAATAGAAGTCACTTGTATATTCCAATTGAATTTATTGAGAATAGAGAAACTGTCCTGTCAATTGTTGATAAGGACACTTCAGTTTATAGAGAATATTTGAGTTTAGTTCCTTCTTGGAAGAATGATAAGGAAATTGTAATGAAAGCTTGTCAGCAGGGCGGATTTGCTCTGACGTTTGCCTCTGAAGAATTGAGAAATGACAGAGATGTTGCCCTGTCAGCAGTCAAACAAAATGGATTAATGATTAGTGAAATTCCTCTGGAATTGAGAAATGATAGAAGAATTGTTTTGGAAGCTGTAAAGCAGATAGGCATTGCTCTTTCCCATGCTCCTTCAATGCAATCAGATGAAGAAATTGTTTTAGAAGCCACAAGACAAATGACATTTGCATTTAGATTTGCATCAGAAGTCTTGAAAAAGGATTACCAATTTATTAAAAAAGTGGTTAGTGTAAATGGAATGGTTTTGGAATATTTGAATGAAGAGTTCAAAGGAGATATTGATATTGTCAAACTTGCCATCTGTCAAAATGGATTAAGCTTGAGATATGTGGCCCACTTTAATGATGATGAAGAATTAGTGAAACTAGCCATTAACAGCAATGGGCTTGCTCTTGGTTATGCATCTGAACGAATGAAATCAAATATACAAATTGTAAAACAAGCTATCAAGCAAAATTCATGTGCCATTGAGTATGCTTCTACAGAATTATTGGAATTAAATCCAGAAATTCAACAATATTCCGAATCAATTGCTAACCAAGAGAAATCACCAAATATGAGATTGCATAATGATTCAAAGGTTCTTTATAGAGATACTCAAAACTTAAAGTTTATAACAGGTCAAATGAAAGGAGACATTGAATTTGCTTTAAAAGTACTGAAACAAAATAATAAGGTATTCCAAGAGTTCCCACAGAAACTTCAAGAAAATAAGGAGTTTGTTATTCAGGCTTTGAAGCAGGAGCATCCAGATCAAATTTTAAACCTTTATTCTCAATTATCGGAAACTTTGAAGAGTGATGTAGATATTCTGTGTGAATCTATCAAGATTAATCCATCAGTGATTGGTCAGGCACCTGATAATGTATTTTCAGATAGAGAGTTTATTCATACACTGGTAAAACTGAACGGCTTCTCTCTATGCTATCTGAAACCTTTTATTAAACCTTCAGATAGGGAATTGGCATTATCTGCAATTAGACAGAATGGATTGGCACTCATGTTCTGTTCCAACAGATGGAAATTCAATGCAGAGATGATTATAGAAGCTGTCAAGCAGAATGGGTTCATCATTCCTTACCCATACAGAGAAGAAAATCAAGTTTACAGAATTTTATTTGGTGAGAATTTCTTAAAAGAATTAAGACAAATTAGAATGAGTAGTTGCTACATGGATTGTTATATTCCTGATAGGTATTTAGATAGTAGAGTGTGTTAAATACCAACAGCAATACTAATGTACATTATAGTGTATTTTACAGAGGTGTGTAAATTATGATATTTCAGTATTTTCTAAATCAATGTTGCAATACTCTTTACAATAGTTATGCAACAGTCTAGATAAATTATCATTACTTGGATTAATTCCATTCTTGTATTGGTTAGAGTCAGTTTCTGATTTTTGAATAGCTGAAAGAATATCATCCACGGTTTTTTTTGCAGCCATTTTGTTGTACAATACAAGATTTGAATTTAACAGACCTCCAGAGTTGAGAGTTCTGTATTCGACATATCTTACACGATTCTTATCGACCATATAATACAATCTTGCCCCAATCATTGGCACTTTGATCAGTTTCTTATTTTCCTCATTCAAACCCTATTACATTTGTGTTAGCTTTTAAAACATCCTTACTTACATAAACATAATCACGAGATTTAAACAAAATGCAACTCTCAACCATCTTGTCTGATTGAAACTTGGCCAAAGTTGAGTAAACCAAATGGAGTTCTCTAGTGCTAAACATTGGGCCAAACTTAAAGATATTAGACATGAACACTAATGGATATTTCTTCTGGGAATGAGATTTATCAATCGAGGAATAATCATGAAACCTTGCTTCTTTGAAAAATTGATGGAAATGAGCATCACTACAAGTTGCTTTCGTAATCTTTGCAACTGAGGTGTCTAAATATCCTACAGATTTGAGAGTTTTCAATCCCAACTTGTCACTCGAACGGTCAACCGATGAAATCCACATGGAAGTTTCAGGACATCTCGAATAAGTAAGGGTCCACTCTGTGGAATGTTCTTTCCCAATGAAATTTGTATAATTCCAGTCAGATGCAATCACATGCTTTTGATTTAAATCATCTTCTTTGAATATGAATTCTTCATTGGCCTTTGATAACTTATCTCGTTTCGTCTTGTAAATCTTGATTACATATTTTGGAATAATGTCAGATTGGAGTCCTTTAGCAAACCACTTGTTAATCTTTTTTCTATTTGTGAACTCAAATTCATTGAACCAATCAGAGAGTTCCAGGAAAAACATTGAGCAGATTAGTTTCACCTCATCAATAGTTTCGGATTCTTCTATTTCTTCTTGCATGGAAGAAGAACTTGTCAGTTTAGCTTGATTGTGAATGAAATCTTTCAAATATTCATGTTCAAACAAGTTAGCCTTCTCTAAAATCAAGGCTAATTGTTGTGTATAATAATTCAAGTTCTTGACATCTTTCGTCTTTTCAATTTCAATCCATTCGAAAGGTACCATCCATTCCAATACAAGTTCACAAAATAAATTCAACATGGAAAGCACTTCACTTCTCGTTTTCCAGGCTACCTTCTCTGTTAGTGGATTCAAAAAGTGCTCAAGGAATAATATTTTCAACTCCATTTCCATTGATTTGTGAACTTTCTTCTCAACAAAACCGAGGAAAGCCTTCTTTAACCAACCTATCCATTCTAATTGTGATTCTATAGGCTTCTTGGAGATGGAGAGTTCCATGAGTGAGCCTTGTGAAGTACTTGCTCTGAGATTAGGATTTGATCCACTTGATGAAGAACCTGATGAGGAGAATCTTAACGAAAGCCTAGAGCTACTATTCGAAATTGAGTCTGCTGTTGTATTGGTGAGTGTTGGATTGATAAGAATCGAGAAGGCTACAATATCAATACTCGTGCTTGGCATTTTTTCGCGTGTTGAAAAGTTTCTTAAACTGATAACATCATGTTAGTATTTCTAAACAAATCGAAAATATGAAAGTTGACATTTGAGTTCGTTGCCTAATCGACTGAATCGATTCGTCATACAAATTCATGAAGTAAAATTATTCCAAATTCCACATGACATGATATTTATATTGGAAACTTCACGATTCATGCAGTGAACATGCATTCTTTTCAATTATTCTAATATTGCCCGAGTGAATTTTTCAATATATCGGTCACTCAAGAGTGTTGTCGATTTAATGCCAGTAACAACTTCTAAAGGAATGTTAAATTCCTTCTCTAATTTGTTTGTGATATCTGAAATTGTTGAGGTTGTAGAGTGTTTATCTTGTGACTCAGCATCTCCCCTCACATTTCTACTGTAAAATGTCGTTTCAGTAGTGAGACGTTCCATTAGATCTGGTTTCTTGGAATTGCTCTTGAATCGAATAAATGTAAAGGTTTTGGTTTTGGATTGTGTTGAACTGGCGAAATGCTCCTTAGCATTCGAATCTGAAATATTATTTGCAGCTTTGGCACAGTTTGGTAAACATAGAGTCAAGTGTTCTGATACACCAAATAATTGACTAATCTTAAGATCACTTCCACAATGGGGGAAAGAAAATGAAAGTCTGGAAAGAGTATTCGAAGGGAAGGTAATTACAGCTGCAGCTGATCTCAATTTGGCAATGTACACATCTTTGAGTGAGGAGAATGAAGATAAATCGAGTTTTCCTCGAGTTTGGTTGTGGCTCTCAATATATTTCAATACTTGAACAGATTCTTGAACTTGTTTGGAAAATGTTGGAAACACAGTATTGGTGATATCGCACCGAACAGACAAATACTCGATGGAATAGTTTGCTTTCTTCATTAGCAATTCGACAATTTTTAAATTCTCTGAATATGGAGCGAATTCAATACCGTACAAACTATTAAATTCTGGAATGGCATCCTCTTTAAAACTTTTAATTTCCCTATTCAAGGTCAGAACGAATGGTGTATAGTGCAAGAGACCCTTATTGAAATTAGTGGAAAGAGAACTAATCTTCTTGACCAATTCAACATCCAACAGTTCCTTTCCATAAATAAAAGACAAGATAATTCCCAAACAATCAGCACTCACATTATGAAATTGTGATCCAGCAATCATTTCCTTGGTTTTTTCCCATCTATTCACAGTTGAATATTTAATTCGAGTAGATGGATGTTTCTTCAATATTCTCAACACTTCCTGTCTTCTCCTCTCCAATTCAACAATTTCCGAATCTACCCGATCAAATTCTTGAATTAATTCTTCTACACAATACAAATCAGGATTAAAATCATCAACCATTTGATTTTCTTCTTTGCTATTCGGAGCGCTTTCTGTCGACACTACAATATTTGTGGTGGTGTTAGAATCATTTTCTGTTGCCACTTCGAGTTTGGTTTTCTTCGAGGAAGAAGATGTGGATTTCTTATTGGCGCGTCTTTTCATTTTTTTTGATTCAAATTTTCAGTTCGACTGAAAACTGGAAGTGAATAAAAGATAACAACAGGTCAACCAACAACATTTCATGAAAACCGTATTACAACAACAGATAGTTTGATTATTCCAAACCTTTCTAATAACATTCCAACAAGTCAACAACAAAATCGAATCTCAACTATGCATTCCATAGTGGCGACCAAATCACCATATTAGTCAGCAGCACCCCGCCATTTTCACCAATTACTATAAAAAATCCAAAAACAGTTCATAAAAAACATTAAAAAAAAATAACAAAAAGCTCAACGCTTTGAAAAAAGTAAATTCAAGAAGAAGAAATATCAAAAACTGATTCGGAAGATGTGGTCGAGTGTCTTGAGTGTTTTGGGTCTTGTGGTGTGCCTTGTTGTTGGTACTTATTTTTATATTGCTCGGAAGGAGGAAGCTAACAAGTGGAAGATTAAAGTTGTAAAAGTTGAGGAGGAACAACATGATATTAATGATAATGATGAGAAGATTGGTGGAGAAAATACTGGGATTCCGAGTGAGGACAATAAGGAGGCTAAACCAATTTTTAAAACACCTCAACCAAAGCCTATTAAGGAGTTGTTGTTTTGGAATACTGTGGAGAGTATTGCTTATAATTTCATGACTCCTGAACATCCTGCTGTGGTTGTTCACAAACAAGCTGTTCTCAAGCATAATTATCAACCATTATTGGGATATTTAATGTCATTCCCATATGTTGTCTTTTCAACTCCTAGTGCTGCAAGAGTATTGACAATGAATTGGAGAGAAATTGAAAAGGAAAATACCAGATTATTCTCACCAGATATTCACAAATTTATGGGACTTAACTTAGTGTTTGCAAATGGAGATGAATGGAAAAGGCAAAGAACTGTTGTAAATCCTGCCTTTAAAGACATTTCAAGATTTATGGGAGCATTTGTTAAGAATGCATTCAAAGCTGTACAAGTTTTTTCTGAATTGAACCAGAGTGGAAAGGAACTCATTGTTGATCCTTCGGACATGACTGGAAGATTAGCTCTAGATGTTTTGGGCATGACAGTTTTTGGAGTCAATTTCAATACCATTAGTGCATTGTCTCCATTACATACCAAGACAAATGAATCTGAAAAGGTTGCCAAAGCTCTCAAATCCTACCAATATGTTATGGATAATATTGCCAATCCAGTTCGATTCCTTGCTGGTAAATATTTTGCTGATTGGAATATAGAATCAAATATCAAGATGAATAATAATATTGCAGCTTTCCAATCATTCCTCGATGAATTAATTGAAGATTGTAAAAATAAGAAGGATTATCAAAATAATACCCTTCTCAAAATGATGGTTGACTCTGTTGATGAGGAAGGAAATGGAATGTCTATTCAAGATATCAAGAATAATACCTCAGTCTTTTTCCTTGCAGGAACTGGTATGTTGTTTCTTTTCAATTATTTTGTTTATTTACTTAAATATAGAGACTACGGCTGCTGCTTTGGCATTCATCTTTTATTCATTGGCAACCAATCCAAGAGTTCAAGAAAAGCTATATCAAGAAATTATTGAAACATTCCCATTGGATCAAGATGAAACTCAATTCAATAATTATGAAAAGGTGAAAGATATGAAATATTTAGATGCTGTCTTGAAAGAAAATCTCAGATTATTCCCTCCAGTTCCTCAACTTCCTTTAAGAATCTTGAATTCTACCACTGTCATTGATGGCTACAAGATACCAAAAGGATTTGCTGTCAATTTGAGTGTGTACAGCGTTCACAGGCATCCAGAAGTCTGGGGAGAAGATGCTGAGGAATTTAAACCAGAGAGATTCTTGGAAAAGAGATATCCTTCCTTTGCTTGGATTCCATTTGGTTCAGGTGCTCGTAAATGCATTGTAAGTTTTAAAAGAATTCACTTTTAACATTTAATTCACAATTTGGATTAGGGTAATCAATTTTCGATGATGGAACAAAAAACATTTGTCATTGCGTTATTGAGAAAATACAAGATTGAATTGGAGAGACCAGACCAAGTTCTCAAACTAAACAAATTGAGACCGAATATGTCACCAGATAGTTCTAACAAGTATAGACTTGTGGAAAGAAAATGAACTCAATGTAAATAAAGATTCGATAGTATTCTTAGTCTTTTTATGTTATTTGATTGGTATTTGAATGGAATGATAATTAGCTAGTTGTTTGTAGTAGAGAGAAATATGAGTGAAATTAATCAATTAGCTCTTTGTTCAGCTATAGTTGTTTATTTTACACAAGTTAACGATAATTTACACTTGAGAATAAATACCAAATTCTCTCTTGGCAAATTCGAAAGCAAATAAGGTTGTAGAAACTGTAGGAACACTCTTTAAGAATGTAACTACACTGCCTCTGTACAATCCTCTAATTCCTTCAGTTTTCCAAATTTGTTTAAAGGCATCTGACATGCCATTATAGTGAATGTCAGTAATGTGAGATCTTTCCAAAACGTTTTGCATTTGCAAACGAGTTCTTACAAGTTGGAGTGGATAAGTTAGTACTTGGTTAACTGTACAAGCAGCTGTTGCCATCATAAAGACAGCTGGCATTGATGGATAGTCATGATTGATATCTTGACTGCTGTAATAAGTGTAGTGAATTTTCTTGAACGTTTCGTAGAGTCCAGTGTCAAGACCCACTCTAATCATTGCTGGTGTGCATCCTCTGTAGAATTGTCTCCAACCATCAGCTTTTAAGGAATCTCTAAAAATTCCTCTAATATTTACATTTTCTCTTGTCATGAGATGCATCTTGATTGAATCCAATGGATAAATAAGAGCTTGGGCAGCCATAGCAGCAAATGCACTGGCACAAAAACGTTGATGCATTTGAATAGAAACAGCATCAGGTACGTGATCATTGTAATAAATGATCCATCTCTTGAACATTTCATAAAAGTAAGATCTGGCTGCAATCTCTGGAATTGCTTTCATGACATTCATACCATTTCCTTTGAAAAGTCCTTTGTAACCATCTTTACCAATTTCTCTCAATCCCTCCCTGATTGATTGAAATTCCAAAAATTGGCCATTCTTATGTTTGGTGATTTGAGTTTGAATTTGGTAGAGACATCTCAAACGTTCCAGTGGAGCTACAGCTGTTCTTGCAACAGCAGCTGCCATACCACCTGCAAGGAAGTATTTCCACTTTGGATGTTCTGTATCTGCCTCACATTCATTCTTTAAAATATTGAAAGCACTTTTCAATGATACATCCTTATTGTGAATAGGGATTAACTTCTTTCTATGCATAAAATCATACCATTCTGATAAAATTTTAAAATATTCGAAAGTTCAGTAATCCAACAATTAAGATTTACATATTTGGGTAAATTTACACACCGATCAGAAATTACTTACCCTGATAAGAGATGGAATTTGACTTGTTCTTATCTATCATTTTCATAATTTGTTTCATTTCTTTGTCACTCAATTTCAACTTGAGTTTCTTACAAATTGCCTTCAATTCTCCGATACCAATGTCTCCAGAGTTATCCAAATCAATTTGATTAAACAATTTTCTCAATTGTAATTCTTGAGCAATCATATATTGCTTGAATTCATCAAATGACAAGTGACCATCCTTACTGGTGTCATGTAATCTCATAATTTCGTCCACAGTTCCATCTACTACCAAAATCTTGGACTTTTTCATGAAGAGTCTCATCTTTTCTGGAGTAATTGTCTTTTGATTGTTAATGTAATGATGTTGATGATTCTCATCCTCAATACAATCGACAATGTCATCAAACAATTTTTGAACCTTCTCCTCAAATCCATGAATAAACAAATTAGCATCATGTTCCTTATCTTCTGGTGATGAAGGAACTCTTGTATGTTCATGTTCTCTTTCCTTTGTAATTTCTACCAGCAAGTCGTATTTTAATTGGTCTTCAATCATCAAATCCATCCTTCCATCTCCTTCCGCCACCTTCTTTTCATCGACAATACTTGTTGTAGTTTCATTCTCCTTGTCATCCTTGCTGTTATTATTGAAGAATTCTTCAATTAAACTATCAGTACGTTCAAAAAGGTTCAATGTTTCAATAGCCTCGTGTATAATATTATCTTCCATCGAATGTTGGCTTTCAATTAGTCAACCTCTCAATTAGCTTTAAAGAAAAAAACTTGTTTGCTGCTTTTGTAAAAAGAGTCTCGTCACCCTTGTTGTTGTTTTTTTTTAGAATTTGAAAAAAATATTCTTAAAACTCAAATCGTAAATTTCTATGCTCAAATGCCATGCTTGAATTATTCGTGTGATTTTTTGCTTATTCATCGCCCGCACAATGTTGCTGCAGTGAAAAACCTTCCTAATTGACATGAGGCAACCATTGCACGGGAACGAGATAAGGAAGTCCATTATGGTTAGGTGCCTACGTAGAGTGCGTGATGGACTTTGTTGGTGCGTGCGTTAAAAAGGTGCAGTAGCTATATGAGGAATAAAATAACTAGTATTGAGAATTGACAACTGGTGTAAAGGTTGGTGAGGTTGACTAGGAAATAAATATCTATTGTATGACTGGTGTTGAGTGGTAAATAATTGGTATTATAATGTCATGTTCAATTATTTTTAAACATTTCCAATTAAAGACAATTAATTGTATTGGAATTTGTATTCGAAAGTTATTTACAATTTTTTATTAATAGCAATACCACGTTTTGTAAATGCCAACAAATACCTTGAATAAATAGCATGGAATGGAATCAAAACCTTAAACATTGGTTTACTTCCCAAATGACCTTTCGTCAAGATTCCACTTCCAAAATTCAATTCATATTCACTATCTGATTTCCTCACAACTTTCATCCAAGATAATGAGCCCCATGGAGTTCTCAATAAAATCTCATCATCCTTCTTCTCAATCACATGAAATATCGAAACATTTTCGCCAATGTCAAAATTCATCTTTTCAATTTTTGAATTTTCCAAATTTCCAAAAGTTGGTTCAATTCGTGCAAGAATCATCTTTTCCAAACCGAAAAGAGGTGAGCTGTAGAAACTCTGAGCCATTTCTGTTGAGTTCAACTGGCTCATTGATTCACCACTTTTTGGAATGGAAATGGAAGTTCTATAATGATCCATCAGCATGATTTCTTCACCATACTTGGATTCGAATCGATCCAGCATTGAAACATTCTCCAATTTATCATTCAAAGACACTTCTTGCATATTGAGAGATGGTATTTTCAAACTGGCATATGTTTTCATCACTTGTTCTCTATTGGTATCCTCTCGGATGGTTTCAATCTTAAAGTAGTGCTTGGATAACACATAATCAAGACATACTGCTCCGAGGAGAGAAGATGCCGTTCCGATTAGTAAGGTTTTTCCGAGGGGTATCATTCTCTGTATTTTTAAGTGTTTTTCCTGCTATTCTTCTTTTTGTATGGGCAATGTATGCAAATAGATCTATTCAAAAAATGGAAAGTTGTTTGGTTCTATTTTTTTTTAAAATTGAGTTGTTTTTAAAATTTCTATTTTATCAACTTTACAATTGAAAATAGATGTCGATAAGGTATTTAGTGTGAAAATGATTGGATAGAAAGGGAACACACAATTATAAATAGCAAAGACCCGCACGGATCAAACATCATTGTTAAAGTAGCAACGGAAAGGCATTTATCTTTAATAGTTTATTTAGCGCCATTACAGTCGCCTATGAGGATCTCAAAATGATTGTATTGTAAACTCAAGTATTCATTTGCTTACGTATTTCATTCTAATGAATTTCCTCAAAAACACGTGTATTCAAATTCAAATGCATTTGATATTCCAAAATTAAACCCAATTGAAAACACAATCAACCACTCAACTACAGTAGTAGATGGATTGGTTCAACAAGGTCATGAAACAACGCACTTTATTCCTCTTGGAATTTCAAGTAGAAGCGCACGTTTTCATCATTTAAACATGAGCTCTATCAATTTAATGAAAAACACAGTGATCCAATATCAATAGTAATCTTGAGGTAAATATGTGGTTCTTTTTGAGTCTATTCTTATTGCCGCCCATCAAGATGCTTTCTTGTCAATTGATTTGCAATTAGCTGTTGAAAACTTTGTTTTTCAAACGTTTGATTCTCATGCCTTCTTCGAAATACTGCAGGAATTTATTTTTGAAATCCAGAAAAAAACAAGACAAGCTCTTAGGTTCCATTCTCGTGTGTGATGAGTAAAGAACAAAAGAGAAGGTGACCTTCCATATTTCATTTCCAAAGGTTTGTTTTCAGTTCCTTTGCACAGCATGCATTTATGCTCACGCTTCAATTTATTGTCCTCTCTCATGTGTTTTCATCCTCGCATGAATATTCATATCAAAATTTCTATTACTTCTTGTTCAACTTCAAATATGATGGTGTTAATCCACCCATTCAAAAATCTGCTCGAACAACATCAATCATCATCAGCAACATATCCAATCTATCATCACTTATTATCTTTGTCAATTGTTGCCGTAAGCATAATTTTAGAATTCAAAGAGAAAAAGAAAACAACAACATCGCTATCCAAACCACCACAAGTTTTTTTGCTTTCTCTCCCCAAGTAAAAATCGTTATCGCCTCCCTTGCTTGGAAAGAATAACATCTTGTCATCTTCCAAACGATCTACAACAAGAGAGCCACATTCTTCTTCCTACCTCTTAGAACACAAAACCATCAAACAACGCCAACCCCTACAATCACGAAAATCTCCAATCTAAGAAGATCCTTTCGTTTTAATTGCTAATACCAGTCCCAAAACAATGCCCAAACAAACAACCTACCCTGGCCAAGGTGGTAGCAATGGCAATAACAACAACCACCAACAACATTCACAACAACAACAACAGAATAATAGCGAGAGCAATAACAACCTTTATAATTTACGATACCAAGGGCCACAATCTGCCTTCCAATCCTCCAACACCTCCAATGCTCTTCACTTCCTACACCAATTCGAAAAGCAACAAGGTGGTGCCACCAATCAACCTTCTCTATTTAATTTATTGGATGGATCCACATCTACGATGGCTTCCGACGAAATGGCACACTACTATCAACGACTCTTCTCTGGCAATAACAACAATACCAATAGCAATAACAACCTCCTGAATGCAATGTCAGCCAATGTAAATACTCCAGGAAGTTCCTCCTCAAATAGCAATAGCACCAATCCATCAGCATTTGTCTCACCCCTTCCACCAGCATCAACACCTCTGGCAGATTCACTCTCTTACTATTTGGAACAACTTGGATTGCCAAACCAGAACAAGGGAGGTTTATTAGCACCATCAACAAGTTCTTCTTCACTCTTGGGTAATTCATCAGCAGGAACAAACAACACAACATCAGCAAATGCCAATCAACAAATATCAAAATCAGCATCTTCGGACAAGATTTCAACCTTGCTGAATAATATTAATAATCATATTACAAGTAGCAGCAACAACAACCTACCAATGACATCACCAACATCCTCATCATCCCTTTCGAGTAGTAGTGGAAGTAATGGACAACACGTAGAAGAATCAAAGAAAAAGAAGAAGAAAAAACCAGTTGCTCCAGAATCTGATGAAGATGAGGAGATGCAAATGGAAGGAGATGAGAGTGGAGGTTTATTCCATCCAATAGCTTGTGTACAATGCCGTCGTCTACACAAAAGATGTGTACGTATTAGTATTTAAACAATTATTTGGAGTACTAACTTTTGATATCTCTTATCATATTTGGATTATAATATTGAATTTTGAAATTATAGGATAGGAAATTACCAGCCTGTTCAAAATGTGTTTCGAGAGGAGTAAATTGTGAATATAAAATCCCAAGAAAAAAGGGAAGAACAGCCAAACCAAAAACATCTACTGAAGGTGACCAAAGCAATAGGGACATTGCTTCATCTCTACCATCATGGGAAGGAGTTTCAATGAACCCTCCAGAATTGGACAGAATTTCAACAAATACAGCACCTCAAATGGCAGATGTTGATGTTAGAAGAATTTCCGAAATGAACATGTGTATCTTCAATACTACTAATGCTGGAGTGAAACCTCTTCATTCAAGCACAACCAAGTTGTTGGCAAACATTTTATCATCTGAAACACCCTATGGAAATATTGCCAAAACACCAGAAAAACATCTTGACAAGAGAAAGGTACTAGATTTGTACTTTAACATTTTTGGTAATGGTATGCCAGTAATTGAAAGAAAAGACTTTGAAGGATATCTCTCTTCTAAGTCAAATAACTCAAAGGATGACGATGAAGAAATTATTACTGAAGGAAATGATATCATGCCAAACAAGAAGGAAGTATATGCCATGTTTTTAGCTATTAAGGCCATTTGCGAGCAAAGAACTGGTCTTTCAGATTTAGCTGAAGAAACAATGAAAAAAGCTAGAGAAGCTCTATCCAAATTCTTTGATGAACATTCAAATTTTTACGTGAGTTGTTGTTATGCATTCATGTGCATCTACGAGTCAGGATGTGGAAGACTAAAGACTGCCAAATACTATTTACAGTCTGTTAACTTTTACCTTGATGAGCTCAGTGAAGAAGAACAACAAAATTTGACAATCTATCAGAAAAATCTCAAAAAGATTAGAAGTTTTTGTAAAGTCTGTTCATCAAATGATAGTGGTGTGCTTTCTCTCTTGAAGGATTGGCCAAATGTATTCGAAAAGACACTTGGTATTCAAATACCTACCGAATGGAGAACATTACTCGAGCAAGATTTGACACCAAATAACTATTCCACAATGATCAAGGTTGTAGAGACACTTTTACACATCGTAAGAATGCATCTCACAAAGACTGGTAGTGAAAGAAACTTGAAGATTTTCGATATGGGATCAACTATTGTATTCCATGGCATTAGATTAGGAATTTTGAGTGCTGTCAATCGTGGAAAGGAATTGATTGAAGAGTCTGCTCTCAAAATTACATTTGGTACAGAGAATGAGTTATTCCTCTTTGTGCCACCACCAATTGTTGCTCACGTTGCAGCAGCTGCCAAAGTTCACCTTCACATCGTCAAGTCTATTGAGGCTGGAGAACGTCAAAATCCAGAGGTAATGATGGTACCAACAGTCAACTATGGTGAGGAACCACGAGTTGGTACTGTTGACTATTATGAGATTTTGGCCAAAGATTTGAGAGCCTTGAACATTCTCTCCAAGAGATATAAGAAAGTTTCTCTCTTCCACAAAACACTTATGCAAGAAATGGAGGAAATTATCAATAGAAAACACTTGATGAGTGCTCTCAATTTATTCACTTCTCACTCTCTGAATGATGGAAGCAAACAACCAACTGACTTGCCACAATTCACTCAAAACTTTTCATCTGGCTCTCTTCCAACCACCAGTATTGGCAGTTCTAATAGCACCAATAGCACCACTCCTAGTAGTACAACTAGTAGTCTTCCTACCGTTTCCAATACATCCAATAGAAGCACTACCACTACTAATCCTTTGAGTGGATTTTCAAATGATATATTTAGTCACTACAATCTTTCAGAATTTTCCGAATTCCAAAATGTTAAGAATACCAAGGACTTTTTCTCAGTTATTGCCAATCCAAAGAATAATAACAAGAGTAATAATCCTATCAATATGGGAACTCAAAATCAAATGGTAGATCCTCCTACTATTAACTGGCAAGACATGATTAATGGTAGCGGTTTAAATTTGAATTTGGGAAATAATCTAGGTTTTGGACTTGCTTCTCCTGTTCCAAATATGAATGCAGAGCCATCTCTTCAAAATGAATCATTCTTTGAGCCATTCCTAGATAATGATGACATGCAAGAAATTTATTCCTTTGCCTATGATGAAGCTTTGGGTCCATTCATGAATAACAGCGATTAAATTATTTAAACAAGTTTCATCTGAAATATTTAAATGATGAAACAGTTTTGACCAGTTCAATAATAATGGAGATTGAATTTAGATAATTCAAAATAGTATGGAATTGAATAGTGGCAATTTGATCAAGCAACCAATACAACCGAATATCAAATAGTAGGATAGTTTAGTCTCAATAATAAATTTAAAGTTTTATATGACTAAGGAATTAACACAAACAATTTCCACACGAGCGAACTTTTGAACTTGAATGAGGAAACCATTCTATTTGAGTGCTCAGAATCTTGCGACAATGGTTGACAAGTCATTTAGCAAATCAAGGGTTTTGCTGACATGTGGAAAATCAAAAAACCTTTATGAAACAGCAAACCGTTAGAAAAAAACAATTTCAACATCTCTGAAGGTTCATCACCAAACAATCCTGTAAAATCCATCCACACTATTAACCTCCGAGAGAAAAAGAGAACACACTTATTACCATCATCAATCCTATCATCAATTATCATGGCAGAAGAAATTTCATCATCCAATATTCCCCTCTTGCTATTCAATTTACTGCAGAGTATTGATAATTCAACGAGTGATAATTCAACCTCCACCACTACTACCAATTCAACATCAACATCAACCATCTCTATAGACGGCAAGCCAAACTGAAATTATCTGCTTTCCATGCGTTGCCCTTCTCTTCAAATATGGACCCCAGTTTGTAGTGGCTCGGTGTAGTGACTTGAAAATTTAAATTCAATATTTAAATTTCAATACAAGATTAATTTTCAATCTGATCCTATCCTCTCTATATTTTGACATTTTTCATTATTTAATACTGATTGATATTAAATAATAATAATACCAATAATTGCGTATGTGCTTAATGGCAAAGATGACCAATCATCCATATTTGAACCTTATTGTCATTTATGTCAGTAGAGGAGCTTGTACCAGCTCGTCTCGTTTTGGATGTAATCTACTGCCAGGCACATAAGCGCAAACAAACAACTTTTTTGAAGCTTCTATTAACAAACGAGAACGCTCCAAGTAGCCCCAAAACAGCTAGAGGTTGGCTTGATCAATGGAACAGGATATTTCCCGCCACTATTACTGTACCCTTAGACATTCTCAAATCTTTAAAAAAAATGTCCTCAACACCACATATCTCTAGCCTCTCTACTAATCCATTGTTGTTCGTAGCTGCTACCAACAACAAAACACCAGCAATGAAGCGATTACATATTATGGTAACAGTGATCATGATGCTGCTCTTATTGACTCTTGGTAGTTTCACCCAAGTAACAACAACTCACACTCACATGGGACGTTGATACACTCACAGTTCATAATGGAAGCACCTCATCAATTATATTAGATACACCAGTCCAAGTTATTTCAGCTCTCTTTTCTCAGGACTATCAACGAGTAGTCTCCATTCAAGAATCAATAGTATCCCTTTACAAGTATTCCACATCCACTTTTGAATGGTATAAGGAGATGGATGTCTCAGTCTCGAACGTTACTTCTGCAGCCATGTTATCCAACCAATTGGTGCTTGGATATGAATATAGAGTTGAAATTTTCTCATGTGTGGAAAATGATAGTTGTGCATTGGAATTTGCCATTGATTCTGAAGAACAATCTTTTGGCGGTTTATTGTCCTTCTCATCCAATGGTAACTATCTCTTAGTTGGCGCACCAGACATGGTTGATAATGGAGTAGTATTCCTTTACAAAAAGTCGAATTCCTCTTCCGCATGGGGTTTGATAAACAGGTTGGCTAATCCATCTAGTTCAGTGAGCGTTTCTCAATTCTTGACCAACATTTTGTTACCTCAAATTAAAACCATTGTGGGTAATGGTATGCCTGGATATGGTGGAGATTCAGGAGCAGCAACTTCTACCTCCCTTCTATTTCCAACAAGTATTGCAGTGGATTCTAGTGGAAATATTTACATTGCAGACACTCAAAATCATAGAATTAGAAAATTCACAGCACTTACTGGAAAGCTTTCAACCATTGCTGGAACAGAAGAGGAAGGTTATAACGGAGACAATATCATTGCTACAACTGCTAAATTAAGCTCACCAACAGGTGTTGCTCTCGATTCGATTGGAAATGTCTATATTGCTGATAGCCAAAATCATAGAATTAGAAAGATTACAATCTCAAATGGAAAGATTTCTACCATTGCAGGGGATGGTGATGCTGGTAGTCCTTTGTATGACGGATTATCAGCCATTGCTTCATCGTTGAATAATCCAACAAGTGTTGCTGTGGATCAATCTAGTTCAAATACTGTTTACTTTGCAGATACTAATAATTCAAAGATTAGAAAAATTACCTCTTCAAAACTTTACACTGTTGCTGGAACAGATTACACATACTCTCCTTATATACAACCCAATTTAATTTATGAAGGACTTGCTCAATATATCAAGATTTCATCCCCAATAAGTGTTGCAGCAAGTGGAGGAAAGATTTACTTTATTGAAAATTTGATCAATACGGTGAGACAAGTCGTAGTTCAAAATGGTTATTATACCATGACTACAATTGCTGGTGGATGTCGTCCAGGATTCCCATCCACAACAGAGTTTGCATGCTTGGATTCACCTTTTGGTATTGCTATTGGTCCAAATGGTGATGTCTATGTTGCTGACAAGTCTAATGCAAGAATTAAGAAGATTAATCCAACAACCAAAACTATTTCAACAATTGCTGGTGGAAGCGGAGCTGGGTTTGATGGAGATAATGGGCCTGCCATCTTGTCATCTCTCAATGATCCATGTGGAATTGCAGTTCAGTCAAATGGTGCTGTTTACATTGCAGATACTAAAAATAATAGGATTAGAAAGGTATTATAAACTTATTTGTAATTTCATAGTTTACGGAATAATAGGAGTAAAGAGTCCTTGATTCTTTGGAAGATTCATTATCGAACAGCTCTGTCCCTCAGGTTTGGCAATTCTGTAACGATTGCCGTATAAAACCATTTGTTCCTTACTTACAATGGTCTGTGAATACTCTATTTGTTAATACAATTCCTTCTATCAAAAGAAACAACTTAATTAATGAATAACTACCTGTAATATCATTGATTTTCTTTTTAACAGCAGCATTACAGCAGTTAGATTTTCAACGAAATCTCCAAAAAAATTGAAAGCTATTTAACACCACTCCTAAGACAATGTTATATTATACAATATTATGGAATACATGCGCTCTAAGCACAATGTTGTGAGATTTGCCAAAACTGTCTCTGACAATGTGGTGTCAAATTTGTGAAGCTCTCCTAATTAAAATTGACGTTTTTCGGTTTGTTATACAGTGGCATTCAGGAGACCATACAACCTAAAGGATATTAATATCTTCCTCACCACCATTGTGTTGCATCAACAATGTGAATGGATTGAGGCCGTTGGTAAATGGAGGGCCATCAACTATTCTCCTCAACATTGACCAAGTGAAAAAAAACATCAAACTATTCCTCACACTATTTAATTTATTACACAGGTTTGTTTCGTTATTGAATTATTAACATCCTCACAACTGAAATATCTTAGTGCGGGATTTGCCTTAAAAAAAACAAGAGAAACATTTGTGTTGGAGAACTTGGTGTTTTAAACCGAACAATTTTAATTTTATAAAGATGATGCGTTCCTTGTTCGGGAATGATGATGATAACAGGATGAAGAAGAATACAGCAAGACATCAGCTGTCTTGGTCATCCTCATCCTCAAGGATATTAATGATCATGATAGGAATTGTAATTTCCTTCTATTGCTGTATGGGAATGGTAACTGCTTTGGATTTTGATGTGGCCAAACTTCCTAATGGTCTCACCTTTGCTAATTCACCTCTCTTTCAGAACATTTTCAAAAAGGATGGTAATTTAACATCTTTCGGAAGAGATTTCATGAATAACAATTATGCCTGGAACACTGATCTCTGCATGAAGGACTCTGATGGAGATGGCTTAACCAATGGTGATGAATTGGGTGATCCTTGTTGTTCGTGGTACTATGGAGGTCCTCCAACAAGAAGATACAACCTGAAGGACTTGTCTGATCCTGGCAATAATTCAAGTGTTGCTCCATTCCCTTCTGCATCATCAGTTGCGAGCATTTACAATTTTAGAGCAATTCCAACCTATCACAGTGTATTGTTAAAGTGGAAAATGCCAGATGTTTCTGCTAGTACTATTTGTTATATCCAAATTCAAATGTCTACATTGAATGCAGTTGGATATACTACTATTACTTACAAATCTTATAATGTCAATAATTTCACAAGATATAATTTGGATGAAAACAAGACTTACAGTTTTAGAATTCTTCCATATAACAAGTTTACTGGATATAATAGTTATGGTATTGGTAATCAAGCAATTATTTTCACAACAACCAAGTTGAATCCATATGGACATGGTATTGGTGATAATTGTCCATCACAAGTGATCAAGTGGTCTGAATTGTATGGAAATTTGACTGAATACATGGATCCAGTGATTGTTAAGAATGAAACAGTTGTGAGCAATTCCTCACTTGTGAATAATTCATCCATTATTGGGAATAATAATACACATTTTATTAATGATTCTTCCAGAGATAATTCTACTCATACTGGTAATTCCACTAACACTGATGATAATACTAATAATAACAATACTTATATTGATAATGGTAATAATTCCAATAATACCAATATTGATAATTCTACAATTGATTCTAATAGCACTTTTGATTCCAATTCTACAGAAATAGATAATTCAACAAGTGTTGATAATAGTACCTCTGGTTTGAATGACACCTCGATATCTAATAATTCTACTGATAATTCGACCATTTCTACTAATAATGGAACTGTCCAAAACACTACCGACTCACTTTCCAATTCAACACAATCAGATTCAAATGGTACAGTTAGCTATAACTCAACAGTGGAGAACAATTCAACAACAGCCACAGGTGATAATACCACTAATGTTAATAATTCAACGACTGATTCCAATTCCACAATGGACAACTCTACTAACGTTGACAATTCAACGCTTTATGATAATACCACTAATGTTGATAATTCAACTACCAATTCCAATTCAACAATAGACAACAATTCTACTATA